TTAGTTTCCATTCAAGCCAGATTTAGAAGAGGACGTGGAACAAGAGATATCATTATGATGTCAGATGGCTCTTGGCTGAAAGCATAGTGTTGTGGATTGAATTGTGTCCCCCCAAAGTGTGTGTCAACTAGGCTACGCCATGATTCCCAGTATTATGTGGTTGTCCACAATTTTGTGATATGATGTGACTATTCTATATGTTGTAAATCCTACCTCTATGATGTTAATGAAGCAGGATTAGAGGCAGTTATGTTAATGAGGCTGGACATAATCTAAAGAATTAGGTTATATCTTGAGTCCATCTCTTTTGAGATCTAAAAGAGAAAATCAAGTAGAGAGGAGAGGAACCTCATTACCACCAAGCAAGAAGAGCCAGGAGTGGATCACGTCCTTTGGACTCAGGGTCCCTGCACTGAGAAGCTCCTAGACCCTGGTGAAAATTGATGATGAGGACCTTCCCCCAGAACTGACAAAGAGAGAAAGTCTCCCACTAGAGCTGGCACACTGAATTTGGACTTCTAGTATCCTAAACTGTGAGAGAATAAATTTATATTTGTTGAAGCCATCCACTTGTGGTATTTCCATTATAGCAGCACTAGATAACTAAGACTCAGAGAATACCAGAAAGATGTTTACCTGTGTTTTATTGAGTACACAAGGGCATTTGACTGTGTGGATCATAACAAATTATGGATAACATTGCGAAGAATGGGAATTCCAGAACCCTTAATTGTGCTCATGAGGAACCTGTACATAGACCAATAGGTAGTCGTTTATACAGAACAAAGGAATACTGTGCGGTTTAAAGTCAGGAAAGGTTTGCATCAGGGTTGTATCCTTTCACCATACTTATCCAATCTGTATGCTGAACAAGTAATCTAAGAACCTGAGCTACAGAAGAAGAATGCCACATCAGTATTGGAGGAAGACTCATCAACAACTTGTGATATGTAGATGACACAACATTGCTTGCAGAAAGTGAAGAGGACTTGAAGCACTTACCGATGAAGATCAAAGACTACAGCCTTCAGTATGGGTTGCACTTCAACATAAAACGAAAATCCTCACAACTGGACCAATAAGCAACATCATTATAAATGGAGGAAATATTGAAGTTGTCAAGGATTTCATTTTACTTCGATCTACAATCAACACCCATTTAAGCAGCAGTCAAGAAATCAAATGATGTATTGCATTGGGCAAATCTGCTGCAAAAGGCTTCTTTAAGATTTCGAAAAGCAAAGATGTCACCTTGAGGACTAAGGTGCTCCTGACCCAACCCACGGTATTTTCAATCACCTCATATGCATGTGAAAACTGAATGATGAATAAGGAAGACCAAAGAAGAATTGATGCCTTTCAGTTATCATGTTGCTGAAGAGTATTGAATATATCAATGGACTGCCAGAAGAACAAACAAATCCAGCTTGAAAGAGTACCGCCAGAATGCTCCTTAGAAGGGAGGATGGCAAGACTTCATCTTACGTACTTTGGATGTGTTATCAGGAGGGACCAGTTGCTGGAGAAGGACATCATGCTTGGTAAAGTAGAGGGTAGGTGTGAAAGAGGAAGACCTTCAATAAGATGGATTGACACAGTGGCTGCAACAATGGGCTCAAGCATAGAAACGATTGTGAGGATGGTGCAGGACAGGGCAGTGTTTCATTCTGTCGTACATAGGGTTACTATGAATCGGAACCAACTCTAGGGTACCTAACAACAACAAGCCTCCACTCATGAATCCCCAAAGGAAAGCTTCATTGTAATCAAATTGGTCTTTGTTCCGTCCAGTCCTATGTGCTCTGCTATCATTCCATTTACTTTCAACATTCAGTGAGTGCCAAATATTCCTGCCTAGAACAATTTCTCCTTTTCATTTCTGCAGACTTAACTCCTACTTCAAGATCTGGCTCAACTATGTTGATCACTCCAGCTCCTGGAATTGCCCTTGCTTTTAATGCCTGTAATTGTTGCTGCTTGTCTATTTGGCCATCTAAGTAGTATCAGCCATCTGAGGAGCTCTGGTGGCACAGTGGTCAAGCGCTGGGATACTAACCGGAAAGGTTGTTGGTTTCAAACCACCAGCTGCTCCATGGGAGAAAGATGTGGCAGTCTGCTTCTGTAAATATTTACAGCCTTTGAAATCCTCTAAGGTGGTTCTATTCTGTCCTACAGGATTGCTACAAGTTGGATCCACTCTATGGCAATGAGTTTTTTATCAGCCATCTTGTTGCATTATTTGATCAACTTTCACATGCAAGCTAAGTGTCTTTGTATTCCAGCACTTTGGCTTAGTACTCATTCACGTTATGTAGTCAATGTATGTTTGTGGTGGATGATAAAACCTGGTCTTTGGAGAAGTTGTCTTTTAATAACCCTATTTTCTATCAGCAAAATAGTCACAGGATTTGAAAGTTTTTAAATGACCTTCCTGACACCCAAATTGTACTACAGATTCTGCGACAAGGTCATGTTGCTGAAACCAGAGTTCTTTGCCAGAGGCTGGCACAATGCACTTCTCATGACAATGGAAGATAAGGAGATCGGAGAGGGCTTTGAAATCAAGCAGATACAGATTTGCACAATACTCAACTTCAATCTGGTTTCTGAACCAATAAAAACATGTGGTTTCTAGCCAAGTGTTCAAACCAGTTTATTCCAGTTTGAACCCCTACTGAGAATTTGCATTTACACCCCAGGTATATTGAATTGGAATCTACATTTTAGCAAGAGCCCCAGGTGATCTAAATTTTGAAAACTACTGCTCTATTAGTGGTTCTCAGAATTGGTCCTGAACCAGCAGTATTAGCATCACCTGGGAACTTGTTAGAAATGCAAATTCTCAGCAGGGGTTTGAACCTGAAGCAACCAGTTCCAAGCCCTGTTTCTAGCAAACAGGATAAGAGGGTTTTTTAGAAATGGAGTAATTGGGATACTCTCGCATTATGGATAACCTGATAGTATGAGGTGGGAAAGAATATACAGCAAGCTATGGAATATTTCATGCAATGTTCTCTGTATGAAAGGTTGTCGTAAAAACTTGGGGAGGAATGACAGATGTTGCCAGCTTTGCTGATTGGTTGTTAATGGTGCGCGCGCACACACACACGCGCGCGCACACACACAGAGAGGGGAAAAAAAAAAAGCAACAGATTGCACTATAGAGAAGAGTAGTGATCTCTGGAACTCCCTTTCAGTTAATCATTTGTATATAAGCCGAACTGAACCTCATTAGGACTCATTAGGAAGTACAAAGGTGATTGCTTAGCAAATACTGTCAAAATTTTAGATAAAAACTGGTGCCGGTTTTATATAAAATTCCACCTAAAATGTTAATTATAAAAGCGCTGCATTTTGTCTGGTTTCTGCTCACTAACTTTCAAAGCTGACTTTACTTATTTATTTTTACTATTTTCTTGTCCTACTAAGCCCTTTAAGCTATGTTCATCAAGTTAGAGGAAGGCTGATTTATAAAGGGAAGACCTAGGACCTGAAAGAAATAAAAATGGGCAGTGATGACAGTCCTAAAAAGACTGTTTGCTTTTTTTTTGACTTTAGAAGACCATACTTTTAAATCATGCCCATCACTGAGATAGACACATTTATTTTTGAGTCCTGCTGTACCCTTTGATGTTCCACAACACTGGGAATACACTTCTTTGTTCTAACCCCAGCATCTGAATCAGAGCCAAGCAGAGTAGGCTTGTCATAAATATGCATTGAGTATTAATGTGGGGCAGGACTTTGATTAGGAAATGCTACATGCCCAAGTGGGAGGAAATGCCACAGACTGAGATAAAGTGCTATTAGCAGATTTTATTTTATTTTTCCTGAAGCTTGGGAATAATCACTTCTCTCTGGAGTCAAACTTCTCCAGGCCTTTCTCTTCAGGATCTAAAAGCAACTCACATAAAAGGCCTCCATGTGAGACCCTCTTCCACTGAGTGCTGGGGAGAAGGTTCCTTCTGATTCCGTTTTTCTTTCTTGACTTTTCAGCAGTTCATCAGAAAACCCGGAACCTTACATCCCAACTTGAAGATGAAATTAGCAATAAGTAAAAAACATTGTACTTCTTTTGATAATTTTTGTTAGCACAGATCTTGGTATAAACACACACACACACACACACACAAAAGGTAATGAGGTTAGGATGGTCCTTAGCATGTAGGGCAAGTTAATTATATTTATAAATTTTATACCAGAACCCTTCTCCCCTTTTCAGGTAAAACCACTACACTCATCTTTCTGCAGCCTTGACCAAAACCAAAACCCAAATCAAAAAAGGACCTTTCTGAACCACCTGGGTGGAAACCCTGGTGCCATAATGGTTAAGAGCTATGGCTGCTAACCATAAAGGTGGGCGGTGGGAATCCACCAGGCGCTCCGTGGAAACCCTAGGGGGCAGTTCTGCTCGTTCTATACGGTCACTATAAGTTGGGATCTACTCGACGACAATGGGTTTTTTTTTTGGTGAGGGTGAGGGGGAGGCAAGTTAGTTTTTATTGCAATTCCGGGTTTTTATCAGGCTACCCAACACAACCCGGGCACACTAGCAGGCCGGCCCCCGGCGCACCCAAGTCTCGCGGGTTGGGGCAGCAGGGCCTGAGAACCCCAGCCTCTGCCTGTTGCTCGGAGGCGAGGCGAGGCGAGAGGGACTTAACCCTTGGCGTTCCATTCCCCTTCCCTCTTTGCACCCTCACTCACACCCAACACTCCTTTCCAGACAACTGGCGGCTCCACCGCTATTAAAAGCTAGAAGGTGGCGAGAGGCGATGCGCGGGGACGCAGGAGTTAGAGCACCTCTTCCCCTCTGGACAAGACTTAGGGTAGTTCGAGTGATAGTGAAGACGGACTAGGCGAGCGAAGGTCCCAGGGCGGAACGAGGGTGCCCGGGGAAGGGCGGGGGTGGCTAACACCCCTCTCCTGAGGGTGGTACGGTCCGAAGAGGGGCGGGGCGGAGGAGGCTCTCTCGGGTCTCTCCCCGCCCCTCTCCCGCCTCCATGGAGGCACTGCCGCGGGAGCGAGTGAGCGCGCGCCCCGGAGACCCCTCCCCCTGCGCCGCCGCCCGAGCTCCGCCCGTCGCCAAGCCGCCCCCTCCGAGGCTGCAGCGAGAGCTCGCCGAGCTCTGCAGACGCCGCCGCCTTTGCTGCCTCGGTGTTCTCCTCCTGCCGGCTTGCGGGGGCCGCGCCCGGCAGCGGCGCTGCCCTGGGTGGGCAGTGGGGCCAGCGCTCTGTCTGAGCGCTCTGCTTGGCAAAGCCAGGTCTCCCGCCCGCGCGGCGTCGCGACAGGTGCAGAGTCCAGGCTGAGGACCCACCTGCGGCCACCGCCGCTGCAATGCCCACCATGCGGAGGACAGTGTCCGAGATTCGCTCGCGCGCCGAGGGTGAGTGGCCGCCGCAGCGCGGGGCTGTGCGCGGAGCCAGCTTGAGGTCTGGCTGTGTGAGATAGAGTGTCTGTGTGTGTGTGCGTGTGTGTGTGTGTGTGTGTTGTGTCGGGGACGAGACGCCCTGCCCCAACTCCTCCCCCGGGCAGTCTGGCTGTCGCGCTTGGTCTCTGGCGGACCCTTCTCCCTGCGCCGCCTCCAGTGTACTCGTAGACTCTTTTCCGCCTGCACAATCCCTGAATTGGTGTCCTAGGCGGGAGCACCAAGACTCGCTTTTCACTGCAGCTTGACCATTCGGTCCCTGTCGCCGAACGTTCTCACCCTGCCCAGCGCCCTCCCCAGTAGCTCGCTGATCTCCCCCTCTCCACTTAGCATCCTTTCCCATTGGAACAGATCACAACCCTTCCACCCCCGCCTCCGGCGCCCACCTTTTTGCAGCCCCCACATCAAAGCTCCCCGAGAAGATTTGCCTTTCCCAGACTGCAGGATCCTATGAGCCGCAGCCCCTTGCCTCTCAGAGCGCGAGGAGCCTTAATTATGGTTGGGTGATCAGTGGGGATCATGTCTCTGCAATTCGGCCTTCAGCATCTGAGTCTCCTCCAGGTCACGTCTAGGATTTTCGTTTTGTTTTTCCTTTTGCCTCCAGTCCGCACTTTGGCCAGCTGAGCGGACTTTCCAGCAAGGTGGAAGCTATTTTCTTTGCTCCACCCAGGGCGGGCTGTTCAATGGCTACACTTGTCAACACTGAGCAACAGGAGATGTTCGAGGGTACAAGCTTGTAAGCTTTTGGGGGGCAGAGACTCATCGGCTCTGCGCACCCTGCCTGTCATGTGGCAGGCACTTAGTAAATATGCCTTGATTTTGCTCTGGGCAGAGCCGAGATTGTACATGTCTCCGAGTTTTTGGTTTGTTTTGTTTTTCTCTGCCACAAACCCATACTTGAATCTTGCAAAGGGTGGGGTAATATGTTTTTGAGAACTAGCCTGTCTTGCCATCATCACTGATTCCCACCTCATTCCCACTCCTTAATATGAAGCAGGTGGGAAAGTGGTGTTTTAGAAAAAGGATGTGGAAGTTAGAATTCCAGGGGTTCGAGACAGGCCATTTTATTACTTCTCCTCCTCAGTTTTGCCATGTAAAAAATGGGGACACTGTGCTTTAAGATCTATGTGTTTTTCTAATTACAGCTTTTAGGGAATACCAGATGAAATTGTTCTGGGGAGAATACCACGTAGAAGTCAAAACTGACCTGTGTCCTACACAGAATTTAGCTTATGGTTATTTTCACTTGTAATATACTGAAAAAATATTTATATAGGATGTTACAGTTTTAAATGCACAGTAGAAAATAAATATTAAATCCAAATCCACTGCCATCTCTAGTTAATTCGGACTCATAGCGACCTTATAGGACAGAGTAGAACTGCCCCATAGGGTTTCCAAGGAGCTGCTGGTGGATTCGAACTGCCAACCTTTGGTTAGTAGCCGAGTTCTTTACCACTGCGTCACTAGAGCTCTGAATAGATAATAGTGCCGTAATAATCACTTACAGTATGTAAAAAAATGTATTCATTCATTGTTTCACATTGCTAAATGAAAGAATTTAATTTCCCTAATCACCATTTCGGAGCTCTGGTGACACAGTGGTTAAGAGCTCGGCTACTAACCAAAAGGTTGGCAGTTCCAGTCCACCCACCAGCTGCTTCTTGGAAACCTGATGGGACAGTTCTCCTCTGTCCTATAGGATTTCTATGAGTCAGAATCGATTCGATGGCAACAATAACCATTTAAGACCAAGATGGATGTCAGAAGAGATTCTGAAACTTGATATTGAATCTTATGACTTGGAGATAAGAATGCCTTACAATTCCATTTGTAAAATCTTCTAAGCTAAATCCAGACATACTTGGTGAACCTCCTACTAGAACCTGAGTCCATCAAAGTGAGCAATGTTTGTGTGATTTATTCACTGCATCTAGAGTGTTGCCTGCCACATAGATACTGTTTCGTATTTATTGAAAGAATGGATAACTTTGAACTTGATTTTTAATGAAAGTAGCCTAACTTTCTTCTCTTGATTGTAGAAATAATATGTGCTCATTGAAAAAAATCACACTTCAAAAGGTTTCAAGAAAAGAGTAAAAATCACACCAAACTATGCCATCCAAAAATAATCACTGTTAATGTTTATATCCTTCCCAACTAGTTTCCAGGAGAGGGGAAATATATTTGTTAAGAAAAATGGGATCTTACTCTACATTATTTTTAATCTTTCTTTCCCCCACTTAATAGTATTTCATGGACATCGTTACCTCTCAAATGGAGATTTTTGAAAACTCTGTGAAGGGTGGGATTGTTGTCTAGTGTTCCTGTTGCGTTCTCGGTGCCTAGACTAGCGCTTGGCACTTACTGGAGGCTTGATAGTTATTTGTTGAATGCACAGATCTGTATTGTTAATTTTATGGCAGCTTAGCATTTTTACACCAGTATATAAGAATTTACTAAGGAATCCTCTGTGGGTGGACATTTAGGTCATTTCAGTTTGTTTTTAAGTAAGCATCTTTGCACATTTTTGTACACTTTAGGCCCATGGCCTTGTTCTCTCAAATTTGTAACCATTTGTAAAAGGGCTGTACGTTGCAGCATCTACTAGGGATCCACTTGAAGCAAGGGTTAAAAGTAAGATAAAACAGCTAAAAAAAAATGAACCATCTGAAGAAAAAAGAAAAAAATTGGAAGTCAAGCCCATGGATGCAACTTTTCTGATTATTTCCTTGTGAAAAGTTTCTACACAGGGATTTCTGCACCAAAAGTATGCACCTTTTTTTTTATATATATATATTTTATTGTACTTCAGGTGAAGGCTTACAGAACAAATAGTTTCTCATGTAACAGTAGCACACATGCTGTTT